AATTAGGAATGGCCTCCCTTCTGGCCTCCTTTTGGGTCACAACATTGAGAGCAGCTCTTGTAACCTGGTGCCATTTCTAAGACAGCTTAAAACCTCCTTAGGTAAGTTTCTCACAAGAGGCTGAAAAGAAGAAACTTGATGGATGTAAATCTTCATGCAGATGCCTGACAGCAGAAGCTGATCTGGCATCAAGTCAGTATCTAAAAGGTTAACTGGCAAGCCTCACCTTTTAATGGTTTACTGGTTCTGGTTAAACTGGTAGGGGTTCAAGCACCTCCCTGCTGGGCCCACCACAGGCAGGAGATGCTGACCCACTTCTATGGCACCAGCTGCAGAGCTCATAGTGTAGCCTCCCCTGGGAGCAGGGACAGCCATATACCGCTAAAAATCTCAGCAGTTTACATGGTGGCCTTTTAAAATGAATTTTTACATCCCTATCTACTAGATGATGGGTGTCAAGGACAGGGCCAGCTTTAGGAAGTCCAGGGCCCAATTCGAACTGTTTCGACGGGGCCCCGGCAGCCGCCCAAAAAAAAAAAAAACCCCCACCACACACTAATTTTGGTTGTGAAAGGAGAGAGGAAAAAAAACCCCACACAGCACGCACAGAAAAGTCACAGCTCCTTTAAATCCCCAGCTACAGGGCAGAGTCCTGCCTTCTGGTCAAACCCAACGGACGACTCCCCCTCCTGCGGCACACAGAAGCTGCCGTGCTCCTCCTCTGGGGCCAATGCTCCCTCCTACAGCATGCCCGACACGCCAGCACACTTCCGGGTTTAGGGCGCGGGGCCCAATTTGAGGGAATCGGGCGAATTGGCCTAAAGCCGGCCCTGGTCAAGGACATGAATAAAATGCAGTATCTTTAAACTTGCCCCTACTTACGGATATCAGCTTAAATCCCCCTTACATGTCACCTCTGGATTTGACCTAATCTATAGTTAGCACTAATATCATGGCATGAGAATTGCACCAAATGGTCAGAAGAGAGGGACAGCAAGGAAAAGGAACTAGAAATAGGATACTCTCTGCTTTAACATGGTCATTCTTATGCTTCTTTTGTCTGGTAGCTTATAAATTACGCCTGTGTAATTTCCCTTATGGCCATTCACTGTTCTGTCATGTACATAATCTTTCACCTCTTCTCCCAGTCCCTGATTCAAGATGATGCTTAAGCACGTGCTGAAGTTGGTCCCTCATCAGGACAGCACTTAAGTATCTGCTTTTCTGAACTGAGGCCTGGAAATGGCTCACGTACTTGAATGTAGAGAGTATTTCCTCAATGTTCTAATATCAGTCTTTGAGTATTTGAATTCTGTAACTATTCACCATTTACTAAAATAACCCCTTATCCTTTTTTTTTTTTTTTCTAGGAAAAGAGGGATAGAACTCATACAGGTGAGTAAAAATTATTTAACTTTTCTGTATAAAAGCAAAATGCTTCTCCTCTCATTTACAAAAAACAGACAGACAAACAACCAAAAAGACAATCTTTCACAGATTTCACCAACAATCATTTTTTTCTTTATTCCTCCCAGTTCATCAGTATTTTTCTTGTTTCATGCCCTTAATATTTAGACATTCACTCTGGGAAAAGTGAGTTTAATGCTGCTAAGTATATATGATAGAATCTATCCAATCTCGTGACCAATGGTTAAGCTTTTCTTATCTGCATCAACTAATAAGAGTCAGTAACACTGGTTATATTTAAGTGGTGTAATGTGTGTTTATTGAATTTATATACAATAAGACCAAAGAGAGAGAAAAATTGCCTATGTGTAGGAAACTTGTGAAGAAGTTAGTCCATTATGCAAAGGCTATTCTTGCAACCCAAAGAACAGGAAGGGGACAAAACTACCATTTATGATATTGGCCTATCTATTGAGGGGTTGGAGGGATTTTCTCCCTGTTTAAGTCTAAATGGCTGTATTTCCATTGAACTGTAGGTAAAGGCAGTGCTTAAAGTGGGCTGAGAAAACTTGGGGTTCTGTCATTCAACCCAAATAAATGTGTATGTGCTTGATATCGAGAAGTCAAAATTGTGTATCTACATTTATTTCATAATGATCTTATTCAGTTTTTAATTCAAGAAGCTATTCTTACCTATTTGCTGTCAATAACTGGTTGAGATTTTACATTTTTAACATACTTTGCTAACAGTAGTGATTGTCCAACATAACCTGACAAAAACAACTTCATAAATCCTTCATAAAGGGATGCGAAGACTTAGTGTGCCCCTCAGAAAACCAGATTGATTAAAACAATGTTTTTTAAAAATGTCTGTAATACCACCCAATTTGAACACTGGTTACCTTAAAGGGACACTATATGCTTGAAAAAATCATTTCTTTCACTAACCGAAGTTGGTCCAGGAGAAGATATTATGTCACCCACCTTGTCTCTTAAATTTCCATCACACGCGTTTGTTGTGCCAGGCAACCCTTAATTGCACGGTAACAGAAAGAGATCAGAATACTGCAGGCTTTGTTCCCAGTTGATCTCATGCATTCTATAGTACTTGTATCACTGTCACTCTTTGTTACTGGTCGGTTGCACTCTTGCCCTGCGCTGAAGTGATGACTTTGCTCCCGTGTGCCTCAGGCGCTGGAAGAGGGAGTTTACCAGCAACAGCAGCACAGCTGAAATTGTGTACACAGAGAAAAAGGAGAGGGATGTGAGATGAGGTGGTTTGATGTTGCCTTTGTTCCTGCCTGAAAGAACGTCCTAAACATTAGCAGGGGTACAGAAAAACCCTAACAGACATTAATAACGTATTTAAAAAAAATCAGGTCATGCTATTTCAAGAATCCTCTATCAGAAAAAAATAAATTAAAGTCAGTTTGACAACATTAAATTTTGGGGTTTTCCTTTAAGGTGTATGAAAGTATCCTCATTAAGATCAGCTGTTTGACAGTAGTACAAGAAAAGAATCTGCCTTAATGTCCAGCTGTATTTAACCATACTCCAAGTAGCATGCTACTGCCCCAAGATCATCTCCTTCCTTTTGCCAGCTACTGCCAGGAACTAAACAGTATGTTCATTGTTCATTGTTTGCTGTTTGTTTAGAATCTCCAGATTTATGCCTTTGACATGCTGGTAATATTTTTTAGTTTTACATGCTAGAGAAGATGAGCATGGAGGACTCTGTTAATTATGGTTTAATATCTGTTCACCAACTAGTCTAGAAACAAACTAGATGGAAAAAGATCTTTGTTATAAAGAGCAAGTTTGGGAATATTTGGAGAGAACTTGGTGAGGAGTCAGAGAAAAGATAATGTATAGGAGGATCAAACCCCACAGTCTTGTACAGGCTGGCTTGGGATCTTGACTTTGAGAGATTTGCTCCCAACAGCTATACTTATAGGACAGGTGGGTTAACCTTTACTTGATCCTAGCTGTTGAAAGACTATTATTCCCCCCCCACACACACACACACACACATTGCAAGGGGAAAATGTGCTTCTATGGTTGCAGCGTTGAAGTTTCATGTGCTCTGAGGCTTCCATTGCTATAATTGTCCTCACTTGAGGTTTGTTTAGGAAGTGTGGCCTAGTACTCAAGGCTGCAACATCTGACTGACAAGGAGGTTGTGGGGGAAGGGAGCTCAGTGGAGTAGGAGGGACTGGGACTGGTCCCTCCCACTTCACTGGGCCCCAACTAGGGGCCCTTTGGGCTACCAGTTGCTTGGCTAAAAGCTGTCCTCCCTGGGCCACTCTCCATCTCCCCGGTTAGCTTAGAATAAGGCTTTCCTCAGTTGAGGAAGTCCAAATCAAATATTTGAGAGGAGATTATCAGGATTCATAGGCAGAGGAAAAGGTGAGGGCCCCTTTGGGCAGCTGTGTCAGAGACTTTAGGTTTTCCTCTGCTCTGTGCTGCTGGAGCTGTGGGCAGCAGATCTGCTCGCTGCCAGTGGTGTTGCCCAAATGAGCTGTTTCCCAGTCTCTTTAATTCCTATCAGATGGCGCATTTGTTACAGGTGTAGTGGGGTGGAGAGGGCAGGACACAATTCCTTAACTCCTTGTTGCCCAGTGTGTGGTTTGTACAACTCATCACAGTTCCTCTGTACTGTTGAGTATTTTCTTCCATCTCTTAGTGAAGAATTTACCCAATAAATCTTACTGCTGACAGCGCATTAGCTGTCACCTCCTTGCTACCAAACCAAGGCATTCTGCACATAGCATCCTAAAACACAAACTCTCTTTGCAATAGAAATGTAATCAGGAACCTGCTTCCTTAGCTTTGCTCATAGATGAGGAATGATGGGTTAGGCATTCCATTTGCTGGAGTAAGTTTATTTGTCAGGATTGTTTTTTTCCTCTGTTAAACAGCAGGAGTTCTTCGCTTTCCAGGGCCAGCTTCTATTGTGAGAACTCTTCTCAGGATGAGGCACCTCAGACTCTTGACAATAAACAAATAACTTGGCACACATAAATACACGGATCCTTGCATTGACGTTCCTGTTTGCACAAGGTCAGAAATTTTGCCACTGATTTCTGAATACATTTAGTGAGCTGTGTGTGTGTACACAGTACATGAGGATAGCCAAGAAGTCAGACGTGCTTCAACACTCTCCCAGAGAAATAGTTTTTCTTAATATCCAACTTAGACCTACCTCCGTCATTGCAACTTGAGACCATTGTTCCCTGTTCTGTCATCTGCCATCACTGAGAACACCCTGGCTTCATCCTCTTTGGAATCCCCCTTCACGTAGTTGAAGGCCACTATCAAATTCCCCTTCATTCTTTTCTTCTGAAGACTAAGCCCAGTTCCCTCAGCCCCTGCTTGTAAGTCATGTGCCCCAGCCCACTGCTCACTTTTGTTGCCTTTTGTTGTACTCTCTCCAATTTATCCACTTTCTTTCTGTAGTGGGGTCTCCAAATCTGGATGCAGTACTTCAGCTAGAAGGGAATAATCACTCTCACTAATGCACCCCAATATGCCATTTGCCTTGGCAACAATGCAACACAGTTGACTCGTATCCAGCTTCTTAGCCACTGTAATTCTCAAGTCCTTCTCGGCACAACTGCTTCCTAGCCAATGGGTCCCCAGACTGTAACAGTGCTTGAGATTCTTCCATCCTAAGTGTAGGATTCTGCACTTGTCCTTGTTGACCTTCATCAGATTTCTTTTGTCCCAGTTCTCTAATTTATGTAGGTCACTCTGGACCTTATCCCTAACCTACAGCATATCTAGCTCTCACCCTGGTTTACTGTCCTCTGCAAACTTGCTGATGGTGCAAACCAATTTATCATTCAGATAGTTAATAAAGATGTTGAATAAAACCAGCCCCTGGTGCACTTTTCCTATGGAGGGAGATTGCACTGATGGAGCTGGATTTTAGCTAAAAGGCTCCATTTAATGTGTTCCAAACACTGCTTGTAAACTGGCTAGAATAGCAGTTGCTTGTCCATTCAAGTTGTTGCAACTGTGATACAAATGTAGGGGATACCTGCTAGTACTTAAAAAATCGTATGTAGAGAAACTTTCCTTTCCTTGTTAAATTGTTTTTAAGCAGGGAAACTTCTCTGTACATTTATAAAATATTTGGTATATAAAACAATGCATTGATATCTAGTATTCTGGTAATGGAATCTAATGCCTGCTGTTTTAATTGGATATTTTTAAAAGTTACAGTTATTTGGGGCCTGGGAATTAAACAATTTTAAACTTGGGGACCAATTTAAATTAGCCATATTAGTTTAGCTAGTAACATGGCCTATTGCTGCCATTAACTTGCCTGTCTCATTCTTACTGCTGCATAGCCTGAGGAAGTGGGGGGAGAGGGATTAATAATACCTTGCTTTGCAAGGGTTCTTTAAGATTATAGACATGCAAATTTTTTTTATGGAGAGGAAACCTTCAGAAGGACATCTGAGGATGGCTTGCATTGATTTTTATTTCAAGTTATGCAAATTAGTATTAATTAGCTTCAGGTCTTAGGCCCCTGACAAATTGCCTGTTTAGTTTTTGTGCTGCCAAATTTGGGGCATTTACATTTCGTGGGACTGAAAAGCCCACTTAAGTAACTATTTCACCCAATCTTTCTTGGAGAAGTAATTCATATTTTTCTATTTTTAAAATGAGGATTTGTAAGAGTGGGTTTTTTATGCCTAAATAACATTAGTGCGCTTTGTCTTGGAAAGACATTGAAGTTGCTTGGCTACAAAACTGGGATTAGTCACTGAATTCCAAGCTCTGATTTTTTTTTTTTTTTTTAAATAATGTAACAGTGGGACCTGGAAGATCAAATATTTTTAATGTTGAATAGCTGATTATAATAGTCACAAAGTTGCTGTTTGTTTTCCTTCCCCCTCTTGCCTCCCCCAACCTCTCTGTGAATGCAGATATTTCAATTCTCTTCTCTTACTTTTGAGTGGAACACTGTCCTTTAAATAGTT